AGCCAGGCGTTGTGGCAGGCGCCTGTAGTCCCAGTTACTTGGAAGGCTGAGGCAAGAGAATCGTGTAAGCTCAAGGGTTTGAGGTTGCTGTGAGCTGGGATGCCACAGTACTCTACTGAGGGCAACACAGTGACACCGTGTCTAAAAAAAAAAAAAAAGTGGTGTCTCTTCCTTTTGTCAAGTGGGAGGAGGGAACTGAGAAGGCAATTAGGGAAGGAGAAGTGGTGTGACCCTGGATTACAGAGCTGACCTCAGGCACAGGTATGTATAAGTTAAAGATTTGGAATTGGGTTCCTTAAAACTGTACTGGGAAGGTCTTCAAGGGCCCCATGGGGATACAGCCCCAGTTTGAAGACCGCTGCTCTAAGAGAAAGAAACTGATTAATGACTAACCTTAAATAATCTTCCTTGCTACCCTGGGATATTTAGTTTGTCTAGTTATAACTTTGAACTTTCAAAATAACTTTAAACTATGTAAGATTTTTGCCTCAGAGTTTAGGTTTATTCACCCTCTAACAAAATGATGCCAAAATGATGCACTTGTTCTTCATGGGCTGGGACTATGCTACACCAATACAGTGCATAAAATGCACTAAAAAGTCCATTATAAGCAATAAAGAAACATTTTCTGATATATATATATATATTATTATTTTTTTTTTTTAAAGAGATAGGGTCTTGCTCCACAGAGTAGAGAGACTGGTGTGATTATAGCTCACTATAGCCTCAAACCTCTAGCCTCAAGCTATCCTCTTTCTTTAGTCTTCTGAATAGCTGCGACTTATAAGTATGTGCCATTGAGCCTGGTCAATTTATTAAAAAATTTTTTTTCTTTGTAGAGAGAGGTTCTCCCTATGTTATTCAGACAGGTCTCGAATTCCTGGCCTCAAGTGATGTTCCGCCTCCGCTTCCCAAAGCACTGAGATTACAAGTATGAGCCACTGTGCCTTTTCTAATAACACTTTTGATCATAACCCCGGAAGGGCTGTAGGTTTCCTCTTTAATATTTCTGCCCTGTATTTTTGTTTACTAGAATTACATTTCTGGTTCTATACTCTAGTTCCTGTTCCTCCTCTAATATACACAGCCCCTGTCATTAGCCTGGTACATTTTCTTTAGATAATTATAGTTCTGTTATATTCTCTCATCTATATCTTTTACTTATTATGTATCTTTTCCCTATCTTGACTTTAAGCAATTCACAAACTTCTGTGAAAATAAATGAATTTGATCACTGGGACCACATCAAGAAGACTGATCACTACTCATAGATCATTTTACCTAACTGTCCTTGTTATGGTTATAGGCCTCTAGAAAAGAGCATGCAACATCTCCATTACTCTGACTTATTTTGTTCTGCCCCAACCTTGAGAGAGGAGAAGCTCCATTTGATTCTAGAATGTCAGCTGGACTTTGTTTGTGAGTAGTGGTCACTATGCGTTAAAGGGCAGGAAAAATCCTCAGCTCTTATGCTTTCTTCTTCCACAATGTGGATCAGTAAACATACTATTCTTCTTATCTATATGTTTGGGTACCCCCATTAAATCATTGATTCCCTCTCCTGAACTCACAGTTCTACTCAAAGTGTGATTCATGGACCAATGCTAGTATATAACTTATTACTGGTTTGCAACAAGACAAATACAGGAAACTGAGAGAAGCACTTAGAAACTTTTATACCAATTAGGCATCTAAAGATATTATGACTATAACTAATCAAATTCATTCTATGGTATTTTATAGCAGCATTAGTTCATAAAGAATTGGAAAAAATAGAAACTAGTCCTTTACCACAGATAGTATGAGAGACAGTGCTCTAAAACAATGTTGCTGTGCCTTAAAATGTACCTGACATTTTGTTTTAGTCATATAACAAAGAGGCAACAGCCTCTGAAAGACAAATTTATTACATCAGTTCAGAGAGGAGTGGGCATGCCTTGCCATAGAGGGCCACATGGGGTTACTATCAGGGTCCACCAGAAGGAATCAGGGGGAAATCATGATCCAGAGCCTTATAGTGTGGTTTTCCTGGGAATGAGCAGGTGAGGCAAGGTAGGCAAGTTTAGCACTGAATAATCTGAATTAATTTCAGAGGGCTCTG